GTCCAGCTGGCTTCACCTCTCAGTAGGAGGTGAGACTTGACTCGGGAGGTAGGGCTTGGCCACCAAACCGAGATGGACTAGATTAAGGACTAGCTGAAACAGGAAAGAGGCAAAAGCCTCTCTCCATAAGACATGCCCACCAGTGCCATGTCAGTTTACCATTGCCAGGGTAACACCTGAATGGTGTTTCCTGGTTTGCCATTGCCATGCCAGCCCTTTCCATGGCCATGACCTAATGACCGGGAAGTTATCACACTATTTTTAGAAATGTTTGCACAATCCACATTTTAATTTGCATCTAATTAAAAGTGGGTAAACATGACCACAGAACTGCCTCTGGGCTGCTACTCTAGGCACACTGCCTACAGGATAGCCCTGCTCTGCAAACAGCAGTACCTCTGCTGCTGCTGTGAACACAGCCACTTCAATAAAAGCTACTGCCTAACACCATCAGCTCACCCTTGAGTTCTTTCCTGGGCGAAGCCAAGAACCCTCCTGGGCTAAGCCCCAATTTTAGGGTTCACTTGCTGTGCATCAGCCATGCAGGAATCTGGGGTTTCTACTCTTTAACAACTCTAAGCTGAGACACCATCATTTTCTTGGCATGGCTTAACACTCATTCTGTCTGGAAAGGGACATCAGACTGAATCACCTCCCTCCATTCCTCATGTGTTCAAGCCATGTCTGTTGAGCATCTGTTAGGTTCCAGGCAGGGAAGATTTGGCTGCCCACGGCAGCTGGCATGGCCAGGATTTGTGCTGGTTGTTTAGAGTCTGTTGTGTGGCCAGTGCTGACAGAATTTGATGGTCATTCTTGACTCTAGGTTCAGTGCTAGAATTCAGAGTCCCTAGAGACTGGAGTGCAGCAGATGTGTGGTGGGAGAGGTAGATTCGAGTCAGACTGGGGCTGGTCTTGAGTGGTTGAATTTGGATCTTCTCCTGTAGGCTGCAGGGAGCCATGGGAAGTGTTTAGGCTGGTACTGGCACAACCCATGGAGAAGTGGTACCAAAGTGGGAGAGGATAAAGGCTGGTAGATAAATAAGAAAATAACTAACTCAAGATTCAGAAGACAGATCATTAGAACAGTCCCAGCGAAGGTACAAAGATTGGAGCTGTTTAGGGGGCAGAACCAAAAGGATTCATGACCAGTCAGGTGTGGCGAGTGAAGGGAAGAGAGGAGGCAAGAATGACTCAGGCTTCCAGCCCAGGCTGTGGGGGCCGGGGCACCATCCACCAAGATAGGGAGTAGAATAGGAACGAGATCAAATGTGGGGACAGGAAGATGACAATAGGCTGATTTATATTTTGTTTGGAAAAATAATATATTTTTAGAAAATACAGACTTTTTTCAAGAATATTTTACATTACTTATAATTTTTTTTAAGCTCACTTCTTTAACTTGTCAGTACATTTATTTCTGGTCTTTGGTCTTTTTTCTTTTCTCTCTGTGTGTGTATGTGTGTGTATGGGAAGTGTGCATTTAAAATTGTGCATCATACTGCAGAGACAGTTTATTCTTTCTTTTAATAAGAATATTATTTCCTGACCTTAAAATGGTTAAAATCTATTTTTAATGGCTACTGAATATTCCACCCTATGGGTGTAACAATTACTTGATTTCTTTACTATTGGACACTTAGATCACCTCAATTTTTTTCCACCTTGAATAACACAGCTATGAGTGTGTCTATAATAAATCATTATTCAAGTCTCAATAAAAAGTTAAAAACATTTAAATAACCAAACTAAAACATTCCTGTGGAAAAAAAACTGAAAATGATACCAAAACCATACAATAAATACTGAAGGGCAAAATATATTCAATAAAAACTTCCAGTGTAAACATCACATATAAAGTAACAACTTCTCCCTTCTCTTGGAAATCCCAGAAGAACAACAACAAGAAAAATGAAACAAAACAAAACGAACCACAGATCCCCAAAGGCTGCATTTCCAGTGAAACTCAGGGGTAGAGGGAGGCACAGAGCACGAAGGATGTGCAGGAGCTGCAACCCTGGGGCGGGGCGGAGGGCGTCGGGAGGGGAGGAGGAGACAGGGTGCCAGTGGTCAGAGGGTTCGGCAGTGTCCAGCCTCAGAAGGCACCAGAAACATTCCCTAGGGTGGAGCTCAGCACGAAGCGTCAAAGCCGTATCCCTCCTTCTCACAGTGAGAATGGAAAAGCAGGCAAGCGGGGCTGCAGGGCAGCGGAGTTGATGGACACTGAGTCAGAAGAGTTAGGCTCTACAACCGTACACGCACATGCTCCGGGTTCCCAGAAGACAGACTGTCTCCCTGCCCGTAGAGACACAGGGACTATTGGAATTGTGACGCCTGGAAGGTTGGGTGGAACCTGGAAGGCCACCTACACCCTCTGCCCCTGTGGAGCCTCCTGTGAATAGCCGGTCCATCATTCCATGGTGAGAGAGAGAATGAATAGGAAAAGAAATAAAGGGATGGGTACTTCCTAGGATGCCACTGCAAACAACCACAGAGTGAGGTCAGGGGACTTCATTCTAGTCAAAGAGGAATTCACACCAAAGACATTAAATGTTTCAAAGAGAAGCCCTTTGCCTTAAAGGAGAGATTCCTAAGTCTATAACATATAATACATATGGACAAAGCAATACAGCAGCAATGTTTATAACACAAAGATTAGCTGAGTGCAACAGAAACACATAAAAACACATTGGCAGTAGGCATCAGTTCTCTCAGTCCAGGACAGATCACATTAAAGAGTAAAGATACGGCAAAGCTATGCAGCATAATAGAATAGCATCAATGGACATAGTTCAAATTCTCTACCAGGAAGGGAAGAATGCACCTCCTTTTCAAGCAGCCATAGAACATACAAATGGGTCTGTGCTGAGCCGTAAAGAAAATCTCAAGTTCCACATCCTGGACATGTTACAGACCAGAGTTCCCCAACTCCGGGCCATGGACTGGTACCGGTCTGTGGCCTACTAGGAACCAGGGTGCACAGAAGGAGGTGAGCAGCCTGGTTCCTAACAGCAGGAGGTGAGTGACGGAGCATTACCGCTTGAGCTCCACCTCCTGCCAGACCTGCAGAGGCAGCATTAGAGTCTCATAGGAGTGCAACCCCTGTTGTGAACCGTGCAGGCGAGGGATCTAGATTACAGGCTCCTTATGAGGATCTAACTAATGCCTGATGATCGGAGGTGGAACAGTTTCTTCTCAAAACTATCCCCTATCCCCCACCCGTGGAAAAACTGCCTTCCACTAAACAAGACCCCAGTGCCAAAAATGTTGGGGACCGCTGTTATAGACCACACGTATAATCACAGAGCAACCCGAGTAGAAATTACCAGAAAAGAAAAAGCACCTGTCACTAGAAAATTTCAGAAATGTCTCTTAAACAGAAGCAATGTAAAATTTTTAGAAAACAAAGACATGTCAGAATATTTGAAAAACAATTACATCAGTGCGTAGAGGAATATTTATTGCCATACTTATGCCAATGCAACAGAATGAAAATAAGTGAATTATCAATCAAAACTAAACACGGCAAAAGTAACAAAAACAAAAACAACAAGAGCAGTAAATAGTACAACTAATTAAACCTTTAGGAAAAAATTCTTAATCAAATAAATAAGTCATGAGCTAAGGATTTGAGTATGTGTGTCTTTGTGTGTGTGTATGTGTGTGTGTGCATAAAAATATACAATATAGGAAATCAGGGAAAACCATAAAAACAGGAGAAATTTAAAAAGTCATAACACTCTTCTGCTTAACGTTTAATTTGGAAACTTAGATGAATAATTTCATAAGAAAATATAATTTATCAAACGGATACAGTAGAGATAAAAAATCTGAACAGAGGAACTTGGAGATACAAGTCTAAAAACCCCGGGAGAGGTCAGGGCTGGAAATGTGTATTTGGGGGTTGCCTCTAAGATTGACTACACCTCTAGCTGGCCTAGTTTTCAGATTCTATAAAGAACAGAATGAAAAAGCTCTGGAATGTAGTCTGCTTACATACCCATACTTGAGAAAAAGCTGCTTTGTGAAAGCTACACGGAATGGGGAAAGAGGCACAAACGTTATACATACCACAACGCTTTACAACAGCACCACCTAGTGACAGACTCGTGAAAATCCCATCCGTTACGTCCCCTCCAGCTTAGGGATGGCAAAATAGGATAAATCATCATCTTACTAGAAAGCAGATACCCTATTCTGTTTCTCCAGTAACTATCACTTTACCTCCTAATGCTTGGAGATTCGTTTTTTTCCTCCTCATTTGGATATTGTCAGACGAAAAGTGTCTAGTCATTGAAAGGAGTGTATATTTAAAGGATTGGCGTAGCAGCTAGATCATGGCTCACGGATGATCTTCATTTCATTCACTAAGTACTTCTGCTGTGCCCAGATTGCTGCACACCCCTCTCTAGAGACTGACCACTAAACTGGATTCTTCTGGCACAAGTGATGCATTAGGCTCTGAGAGTGTGGTTCAGGATGGCAGAGGGACAAAAGAGTGTAGTGCAGAGAAAGAGCTGGGCTGTTGGAGGGGAACAGAGTCGGGTTCCTCTCCACTTTTTCGCTGTTTTCCTGGGCAGATGACTCAGAGATGGTTTCTCGTCTGTGAAATGGGAGAATGCCATCTCCCTGCAGGGTGATCATGGGAATGACGGCACAGGCATTGCCAACCTGGTCACCCTCAGTCCCCAGGACCGAGCTGAACCATCTGTCCCATCCTTAAGACCGCTGAAATGTGCTTACTGGGTTTCTTCTCTACAGGTATTTTCTCTCCACCTGTAGGGTTTCCAGATTCTAAAGCACTTTACCTTCCCCACCTTCAGCATGTTTTGCATCTTAATGATTGAGCCTGAACACTCCCTTCCATTCCTTCTTATCCTTGACATTTCCCAGGAACCCACAATGAAAAAGTGGAGGTAATGGACCACCAGATATGACACCTATGGTGATTTCAGAAGTGTGATCCAAGAGAAGTATTTACAAAAAATTCCAAAAGCAATAGGTTGGGAGTATTATTTATTCAAATAAACAAAAATGTTTTATTTCCCTTTCAATGGCATATATCTTAAATTGGGATATACAAGTACAAAAATAAGATTATTTTAGAAAACTCCAGTTTTGAAGGGCACAACAATAGTTCAGACATTTGTCAGTAGCTATGAAGCCACTTTTAACATGGAATGAATATCCCTTTACTCCAACTCTTGGTCTTCTTACATCTTTAAATCACATCAGCGTGCTGGAAATAGAGCAAAATTCCCAAAGGGAAATATAAAATAATTTTAAGCATTTTCAGAAATACAAGTTACACTTAAGAAACATGTATTAAAGGATGTTAATCTGAGATAAACACAAAACAAACATTTTGCAAAGCACTACTTTTTGCATCTGTTTGAGGATACACAGTTTGCAGCTCTTCTGCCAGAAGCAAAATACTACCTCTAGCAGAGCAGAAAAGTCATCAACTTTAAGAAAAAATGAGTGGTCGCTTTCAGTGACTGAACATAACATGTCAAACTTTAAGAATTTTTAACAATGCAAATTAACAGCAATAGTAGAAAATACATCATTTTAGATTATAAAAATTCAGCTTTTATTAGCACATGACAAATCTCATTCATTCGCTGCCCTCTCATATGTGCTGAGTAACTGCTACACAGCATTTCAATCCTCACTGATATAAATGTGAGAGATTACATCTACAATTAGAAAAATGAGGGAAAAAAATCTCGTTTTATACCACTAGCAACAAAGAACACAAAATTGTACTAAATTTGTTAAGAAATGTTATTTTGTTATTTTGTGCAATTTTCATTATAGATTAATTAGCTTTTTTCACTTTTTTCCTCCATCTTAAAAAGATATAACCTTTTAATGTTTTCTTAACATTTCATTCAGGAACACTAACCTTAGAAATGCGAGGCTTGTGTAAAATTTTACTTCAATAGGTACAATGTAGCAAGCGAAACCATACTTCTATCAGGGAATTTGCAATGACCTCCACATATAGCACTCAACAGAAAAATATTAAGTCCTGACTTTTGGAGACACTTCCCTCCTTATGATGTTCTTATCTGTCCATGCCTTGTGAATAAAAATGCATTTTTATTCCAACCCAAATGAAGAAAATCCTATGTAAAAACATCAATGTCAAAGGCTAGGTTGCCAAGGACGCTCAAGTTTTCCAGTCTTTTATTAATACCACTGAAGTGACAGCTGTGCCCAGCTCACTGAAATCTATATTACAAATCTATCATTTATAATTATAAATCTATGTTGGCAAAATACTTTACTCAGATGGCTATGTGTGAGGCACACGTGTGTTCTATACAGTCTGGACTTTATCTGGTTGGTCTTACACAAATAATTATCCATCTGTAAAGGGAACTGCCCACTTCTTGGGGCTGCCCTGATTCCCAGAGGAGAGACAGATATTTTACCATCACATCCTTTCCCAAGATGCTGGCAGAGCCACCAGGATGGCTGCTCTCACAATAGTGTCCAAGAAGTACCCGAGGCTCAACAGTGCACCCAAGCATCAGGGACCAGGTACCCGCACGTTGCTCTTGCTGTGGCTGGATTCGAATTTATCAGGAAGCTTTGTGATGTCTCTTGGCCCAGCCACTACCTACTGTGTGCTTTTTCAGCACACAAGTATGATATAAAAGTTACACAGTACAATTTAGAAGCACTGGAAGTCTGTGTGTAATAGCTGATGATAAGAAACCCAGAGGAAGCTCAGGGGCAGGGAAGAAAATACTGTATTTATTGGTGGGAGTTACATATCCTCAACACCTATGATAGATTTCAGCCACTGATGCAACTTGAGGTTTTGCTGGCAGCACTAAGCAGCGGGGCTTTGTTCTCATTTCCACATTCCACAGATGTGGCTAACAGCCTTCACCCACCCCTAGGGTGACACCAACAGCCCAGGGAGTCTGCTCACAACTGAGAGCCATGGTTTCTGCTCTCCAGCCTCACCTGGGGAGCTTACTGAAATGCAGATTCCCTGGTCCCTCCTGCACTGACCCTGAATGGGGCTGGGTGTGCTGCGGGACAACTTGGACCTTCCGGGGACGTGGAGCCCGGGGAGCAGGGCTCCCATGCTAACAGCAGTGAGACAGGAGGGAGCTCCTTTTCTGGAAGTCTCTGACAGAAGACATTCTGGAGAAAGAAGCTGTCAGATGTTCGGAATGCACGGGCTGAGCTGCCTCAGCAGAGCTGGCGGAAACGGTGAGGGCCCAGTTGCTGTGCCTCTCAATGACACAATCAGGGTAACTGCTGCCAGGAGCCTTCCAGATGCTCAGACCTCAAAGAGCACTTTACCAGCCCCCTTTGGACTCAGTCGCTTGACCCTCCCCTATGAACTTCCTGGTGTATGACCTTGAACCTGCCTGTGTCCTGCTTGGGCCTTGAGGCATCTCTAGTTTTATTAGAACAGATGTGTTTTACGTATGGCTGCCAAGCAAGTTTCTCTTGGCCTAATTGTTCCTCTGACAAATAATCAATCCTGAGAAGTTCCTTTAGAAAATACCTAAAAAGCAGACTGTGCCAAAAACGTGGGGTGAAATGAGGCGCCCAGGGCATCCTGGGAGGTTCTTGGCTGGTGCGGACCTCTGTGCCCCACCGCCCACTGAGGGGTGGAACCTCTCTTCTGGCTCCTTCTTGCCCCACCCTCTTTTCAGATTCTGGAACTTCCCAGGTCCCAGCCATCCTGTACTCTCCAACTGTTGAATGAACCAGTCCTTGCTCCATGTGGGCAACACCCGGGTCACCCAGCCAGTCTCTCCCTCTGTCAAAGCTGTCACTGACACATGACTCCCGCTTGAATATTCCTGAGGTTTGGAATTGGTGGATCTGCAAAATAAATCACATCTCCAGTGAATTCAGCCACTTTAATGGGAAGGGAAATCTGAGGATGGCTGGAATGAAACTGCATTTTCTTTCTTTTGAGACGGAGTTGCGCTCTGTTGCCCAGGCTGAAGTGCAGTAGCACAATCTTGGCTCACTACAACCTCCGCCCCCCTGGTTCAAGCAATTCTCCTGCCTCAGCCTCCTGAGTAGCTGGGATTACAGACATGCACCACCACAGTTGGCTAATTTTTTGTATTTTTAGTAGACATAGGGTTTCACCATGTTGTCCAGGCTGGTCTCAAACTCCTGACCTCAGGTGATCCACCTGCCTAGGCCTCCCAAAGTGCTGGGATTACAGGCGTGAGCTACTGTGCTCGGCCTAAACTGCATTTTCTAAAAAAGTATGTTCTGCTTATTTTGTTAGCATACTTTTAATTATATTCTTACTCTTTCTACCCCTCTCAAAATGTATTTTTCCAGCTTGCTGTTTAATTGGTAAACTGCTGTAAAGTTCAAATGTGAAATTCTTAAAACTCCCTAGAGATATACACAGTAACTTCTATGGCGTGGAGTTTTCTTGGCTTTCAGAAAATCTAATAGCTTTCTTGGCAAAAACCCCTAATTTTACACTTTATGGTGTTGGGTTGTTTTTCAAAACAACAACAACAACAAAAACTTAGTGGCAAGCTTTTCCTCCAAAGTTTTCTAATCAAGTCTAATAAGTTTGTGCAAGAGAAAACACGTGGGGATTCCATTCAATTATTTGATTTCCACTAATCAGAATAAAGTCTGTAAAACTCAATTACTGTTGTTTGTGGAACAGACTGTTGGACAGCGATTTATTCCCAATGATATCGAGTGGCATTAGGCCAGAACTTAGAACTGAACCACACGTGGCAGCTCCACCAAGCAGGGACAGGGAAAGAGGAATTTAACAAGTTTGCACCCGGCATATTAAATAATTAAATCCCTCTTCACATCTTAAATAAAATGATGGAATCCCCAATTCACAATTGCTTTTCAAAATCTATTATCCAAAGCACTGTGGAGTCATTAATCCTGTCTTCCTGGGGACTACTTTCACAATTTTGAACAGTAACTGACCCCAAATTTATCTCCAACCTAAACCTGTATTTCACCATGAATCGGGTAAGGTCCTTCCAAGTGTTCAGAAGTGGAACCTGTTGTAGAAAAACATTCCCCACGGTCACACACAGGGCATCTGTTTCCTGAGTGCTAGGTACTTGGTTTTGGTTCAGGAGAAATACAAAGTAGTGTACAGTATATGCTGGGAGAGCTGACACCAATCACTTGTGGCTCTTTTAAATTCCCAAGAATAAAAATAGAATTGGTTCCCATCTCGTTTCTTGCTATTTTTAATAAATGGTTTCAGTTACTGAAGGCAGGATTTCATTTCAGACTTCCAAAGAAGTTATCAAGAAAATAAAGCAGCATCTTAAAATAATATTGTCTATATAGAAGTATCCATTTCCCATCAGACTTGACAAGGTTTCTGATAACAACCTAATGCTAAATTGCACCTTTTCAGGCAAGGACTGTCTTCCAGAATTTTCCACAGTGTATTACAAGGTAAAAATGACACCCTCAAAGGGTTGCTAATTCCTTTCCTGTTCCAAGCAAACCTCCTTGAAGGCTTGCCAAGCTAAGCATCAATTTGCATAACCGGAGGAGGTGGGTGTCACTAACAGGGTTTTGACTGGAAGTCCGATTCTCAGCAGCAAGGCATGCCAGAAAAATGTCCCACATTCAATTGTCTATCTCATTCTTGTTGCTAAAGTTATGCTTTTGTAATTTCAGTATTTTCATCAAAATGTCACATCCAATGACATGCGATATGAAAAGATAAAGAAATTTGACCTGAAATGCACAGCATGATGGCACACTTCATTCACCTCCTCCACCTGGAAACCTGACTTGTTGCTTTCCTGTATTCTGAGAACTATGCCTGTTCATCTGCTGCAGTAGGAAGCTCCCCGCCTCTGAAACCTAACACAGTACAACAAAACAGAAGATGTCTGTATGAAGAAATAAGCAGGAAAACTAATCAGGGCATACCTGCAATTCCCTCCTTTTATTTCAAGGGTTTGAATTTTTCACAGCAAAGGGAAGGCACAATCTCGGGGTGTTGGCTTCACTCCTGTGCAAAGTGGCCCACAAAACAGCAACCACAGAAAAAGCCAATGGGATGAGAATTGGACTTCCAGACATCTCTCCCTGTGAAATGCATTCTGAGATTATGAGTTCTCAACAAGCTGAGAGCAGACGTGACAACGGGCCCTGGTACAAGAGCCCCCTCCTCCCATTCCATGCCGTCATATTCCTTCCAAGCTGCAACTCAAATCTTCTCTAGTGAGAACAGCACAGAAGTTTCTTCTGGCTGCTGGAGAGTCTTCCAGGACACCATGACAAGCCGACGTGGTCTCCACGTCTCTTTGGCAGAGTCATATATTTCTCAGTATGGTGGTGACCCGGGGACCCAGGGAGCAGAGCAGATGGCTGAAACATCCACACGTAGCCTACTGTGAATACAACCGACACTTCTGCAGGAGGGGATACTTAGCACTTTTGGTGGAATTCTGTAATACAGCCAACCCACCCCAAAAGAAATGCAAAGGGAACACTGAACTTGGCACACAATCAGGAGAGAGGGGATACTGTCTTTTAACTCTTCTCCTAATGACATCAGGTCATATAAGGCTAGGTCGAGGAAACAGCTTCCACTTTTCTTTGGCAAAGGCCTCAATAAGTGACGGAAAGTAGGGACTGCCCCCAAATAAGGTACCACTGCACACCTGTTACCAAAGATTCAACACCCCCAAAGGAAGAAGCACAGAGGTCAACTGCTAAATGATTTAAGCTGATTGGATGGGTATGCTTGAGCCTACCCAGTTCTGCAAAGGGAAACACACGGCTTCGAAGCACGGGGATAAGTAGACGTTCCCTCGTGTCTTCCGCACATCTTGCATCTTCCTTCCCCGACAGCTGGTCAGAAATATGGGCATCAGGCCATTTCCCTGTTTCCCAACAGGGTAATAGCCAACCTACTTCCAGAGAAGATTTGGAAAAAGAGACAACTAAGCTAGTGAAATAGAATAGTTTTTTCTCATCAAAACATGATTTATTAATTTTAAGCAAGAGTAAGCATATGTGATAGTGGCCAGCTTGGTGACAGAACTCTTCCTGATCGATGCACAGTTCAGCACCTGTCGGGTCTTGGCTGTTGGGATGATAATTCTTTTGGGTGAGGGAAACAGCCGTGGTCAAGGCTGCCTGCATCCCCACCCAGGCACAGGACCCTGGGCAAAGTCTCAAAAGAGGTAGTGTTTTCACTTTCGCACCAACAATACAACACAGGTATTGGGTACAAAAGAGGAGATTTCCTTCCCCTCTACCTCAATGGGCAAAAGGCCTTCCATCTTCAGAAGAGGCTGGTGAGGACCATTGGTTGATGACCTCCTAGTGAATTCTGGCTCCCATTCAGAGCACAAACCCAGAAGAGGGGCCTGTGGCTGTGTTTCCAGATCTGAAGGGTACAGCATGGTTATATCCCCAGGCCCCAGGCTGCTTCTCCTGCCATCATACTGCAAACCTTCTTGTACCACTTTGACCCAGGTTGAGGTCTGGCGCAAAATACCCTCAAAGGTGATTAATACAAAAAGCTTCCTGTAAGCTAAGAGGGGTTATCAACTATATGCACTTATTTTTCCAGAGATTGAAGAGAGAAGACAACTAGCCAAGGCTTGGTTTTGTGTTGGTGGCACATGTAGACAGTTTGGTATAACCAACCCCATAGAGCCTGCAGCCCAATCCACTCTGTTTTGGTTTAGAATGAAGTTTTTTTTTTAATTATTTTTCTTGGATGTAGGGAAGATTTGAAAGCTTGAAAATCAAGAATCAAAAGACAGTGAATCTGAAAGGCATCTGGGAGCAGAACAGAGATTGAAGACGGGCGGGCACGGGAGGAAGTGCCGCTGTCGATCCAGACTGCTGCCCTTGAAATGTGATTTTCTTAATCGCTGAGTTCATGGTTGCTTGAGGTCAGGCCTGGCTCTTCATTTCCAGCGATGTCTGACCAGAGAGGACTCATCATTGACGACCTCAGGGTCACGGGGGCGACGCTGACACCGGAACGGCAGCAGCAGCAGGACAATTAAGACAAGGAGGATGGCTCCACAGACGCTCATGAGCGCATAGGACACGATCCACAAAATGGGTTCGCTCAAAGACTGAGCGGGGACACAGTTACTGGCTATGTCCTTTGTTGAGAAAGGCCCGGAAACTTCAGACACTGCAGCACCTGCAATTTCTGGGGAGACAGAAAGGGAAAATCCACAGCTGTGAAACGAGCAGTCCACCTCTCACACCGGACACAGACAGAACCCCCTGTTTGATTAAACCAGAGTCAAAATTGCACTGAGGTCCCAGAGGCTTAGACAGCTCAGGAAGCACTGAGGGGGTCACGGCTCAGCGCGCCTTCGGGGGTCCAGTCCTTGCACACTGGAACGACGGCATGTTTCCAGGTGTGTGGGTACTGAGCCTAGGTGTAGAGGGGAACTGCAGCAGGGCACATATGGGAGCACCCTGTGCTTCATGGAAGGCCGCTGAGGCTGCCGTGCTATGCAGGTGAGAGTGCAGGTCAGCGCCTGGTCGTGGCAGCAGCTTGGGTTGTGCTTCCTCAGTGCAGATGAAAAGAGAGGAGAAAGAGTAGGAGAGTCCACCGCAGAAAGCTCAGTTGGACCTGCCTGTGTCATGGGGAATTTTCCCTGGTGGAGTCAACCTGAGTTCACTCTCTACCATGGATTCTACAACAGATAGGGACTTCATATCAGCCTGACTCATAGCCTTAGTGGGCTGTGAGACTTCCCTGGGTCAGGCTGGCTCGAGAAACCCTCCCTGCCCCACTCTTATCCTGGGTCTCATCGCCAGCCAGGAGCAGCAAGAGAACGCAACACCTAATTCATGACATCAGTGGTGACAAAGAGAAACAGTTAAAATTCACCCAGTGACTTCTGCCAGAGACTCTTGAATAACTTCAAACCAAGAAGAAAGTTGAGATGATTTCTTAAAGTCGGTTTGTGGATTATCAGTAGACTTCCTTTCCCTACACTAGGCTTCTCTGCCCCTTTCAGGAATATGGGATCTTAAGCTTTACTTGCAATATGGAAAAGAAATACGCCTCTTTACCCATTTTACCTACATTTAATCACAGAAATGAATATTTTGGCACCAGAAAATAACACTGCTAAGCATTTAATTTTTCTATAACTAAAGCCTCAAGATCTTCAGAGCTGCCAAATAATACCCTTTTTGATTGAGGAAAGAAAAAGTCAAAATAACAATGGGATAATGACCTGAAAAGAATGGTTTTTAAAATCAGAGAAAAAACAGGCTTGATTACTTTGCAAAGTGACGGCATTTTCTTGCTAATGTGGATTCTGTCATAATATGGCTTTTCTAAGTGCACTGAAAAAGAAAAGCAATGAACAAGAGCCTGCCAACACCTGAGAACAGAGGGATGCACCCTGCAGTCAATCTACACTCCCATTTCCTGGTTTGTAGATAATGATCTTCTTGCTGTGTCTTTCCATGGTGGAAGAGACAAGGGAGCTCTCTTGGACTGTCTTTAATAAGGGGCAGTAATTCCATTTACAAAGCAAAGCTCTGCCTTCATGACCTAATCACCTTCCAAAGGCCCCAACGCCAAATATCATCACCTTGGAGATTAGGTTTCAACATAAGAATTTTGGCAGGACATAAACATTTATTCTATAGCACTAATTATGCAAAGAAGCAGGAAAACACAGTTCATAATAGGGAGCAAAATCAATCAATTGGAACTTAGTAAGAAATGGCATAGATGATAGAATGAACAGGCAGGATATCAAGATATTTGTTATAACTGTATTCTACTCAGGATGCCAGAGAAAATGTTAAACATGTTAAATAGAGACAAAGAAGATATTAAAGATCTAAATCAAGTTTTTAGAGACAAAAATTGTAATATGTGAGATGAAAACTATACTGGATGGTTGTAAGAGCAGATTATACACTGCAGAAAAACAGACTAATGAATTAAAAAAAAAACCATAACAATAGAAACCATCCAAAATGTAGCACAGAGGAAAAAAAACTTAAAAAAAAGAGAGAGCACATCAGTAAACTGTGGACAACATCAAGCTGCTAACTCATATAATCAGAGTACTCAAAAGGAAGAAGGGATTGTGAGGCAAAAAAATTTGAAAAAACAAACCAAAAATTTTTGAAATTTGATGAAACTATAAACCCACAGATCCAAGAAGCCCAAAGGACCCCAAACACAAGAAACGTGACATAGATTATAATAGTGAACTGCTGAAAACCAGTGATAAAGAGAAAATTTCTTAAAAGCAAGGAGAGAGAAAAAAGAAATATGATGTACAAATGAATAAAAATAAGGATTATAGATGATTTCATGTTGGAAGCAATGCAAACTAGAAGACAACAGAGTAACATCTTTAAAATACTGGGGGTAGGAAAAGCCCTGCCAACCTAGAACTCCATACCCAGCAAAACTATCTGAAAAATGAAGAAGAAATAAAAGTGTTTTCAGTCATATACAAGCTGAGAGAACTCATCACAGATTTTCACTGAAGAAAGTTCTTCAAGCAGAAGAAAAAGGACATCAGAAGGAAACTTGAATCTATACAAAAGAATGATGAACATCAGAAATGGGAACTATATAGTAGTTACAAAATCTTTACCTTTAATTTCAAATATTTAAAAAGATAATTAACTAATTAAAGCAAAAATTATAACAATGTGCTGGGTGGCTTATCATATAGGCATGGGTAAAATGTATGACAATAGCACAAAGGACCGAAGGCCAGAAATGGAAGTCTATTGTTGTAAGGCTCTTAGACTATATGAAGTGGTAGACTGTGGTCAGTTAAAAAATTTACACTACATATCCTAAAGCAACCACTAAAATTTCACAATATAGAGTTATAGCCAATAAACTAGCCAAGGAGATATAAAGAAATAGAAAATAATCCAAAAGAAGGCAGCAAAAAAGGAAAAAGAGAAAAAATGGAACAAATGAGACAAAAAGAAAAATAGTTTTCTTTCTTGTGTTACTGGTTAAACACAGACATATCAATCATACATTAAATATAAATAGTCTAAATCAGCATTTGGCAAACTTTTTCCATAAAGGGTCAGACAGTAAATATGTTAAGCTTTTTAGGTTAGCTTCTTTTTGATTTTTTTCAACCCTTTAAAAATTTAAAAACTATTCTTACCTCACAAGTCATACAGAAACAAGCTACATGCTGGATTCAGCCTATAGACAGTTGTTTGTTGATCTCTGGCTTAAACACCACAACTAAAAAACAGAGACTGCTAAATTAGATAAAAAGCAAGATTCAAGTATATTCTCCGTACAGGAAACTCGCTTTTAATGGAAAGATCCAAAATGTTAAAACTAAACAGATGGAAAAAAAAACTATCATATTAATGCTTATCAAAAGAAATCCAGAGTGGCTATATTATTAGACAGAATAGATACAGATAAAAAAATTACCAGAGATAAATATAGTAGTTTCATAATGATAAACTGTTCCCTTCATAAATAGGACATACAAATCCTAATGTTTTTGTACCTAATAACAGTGTTTCAAAATACATAAAACAAGATTGATGAAAAGGAAGAGAGAAATAGACAAATCCACAAATACAGTCAGAGATTCCACAATCCCTTTCTCAATAATACAGCAAGTAGACAGAAAATAAGTAACGATATAGAATACTTAAACAACACTATCAACTAACTTGATCTAACTCTTACAAAATAATCCACCCATAATAGTAGAAGAATATACATTGTTTTCAAGAGCACAAGAAATATTTACTGTGACAGACTATATTCTGGATGATGAAACAAGTTTCAATAAATTTCAAAAGATTCAATTCATAAAAACTCAATTCCCTGCCCGCACTGAGGTTAAATTAGAAGTCAGTAACAGAAAGCTTCTGGAAAAATCCCTAATTATTTGGAACTAAATAACACTTTTGTGGCCCTGTGTGGTGGTGGCTCATGCCTGTAATCCCAGCACTTTAGGCGACTGTGGTAGGAGGATCACTTGAGGCCAGGAGATGGGGGCTGCAGTGAACTGTGCTCCCACTTCTGTACTCCAGTCTGGTGACAGAGCGAGACCCCATCTCTATTTTTATTTATATATATATATATATTTAATAACATTTCTAAAAGTACAAAACTTCTAGAAAGAAACACAGGAGGCAATCTTTGTGTCCTGGGGTTAGGTGAAAAATTTCTTAGCTATAATACCCAAAAGCACAATTTGTAAAAGGAAAAAAATGGATTTTATCAAAATTAAGTAAGAACTTCTCTTTAATAGAAAATATTAACAGACTAAAAAGACTTGGCAAAATATTTGCAAGCCAAATTTCTGATAAAGGATTTGTATTTTTTTTTTTTTTTGAGACGGAGTCTCGCTCTGTTGCCCAGGCTGGAGTGCAGTGGCGCGATCTCGGCTCACTGTAAGCTCTGCCTCCTGGGTTCACGCCATTGTCCTGCCTCAGCCTCCCAAGTAGCTGGGACTACAGGCGCCCGCCACCACACCCGGCTAATTTTTTGTATTTTTAGTAGAGATGGGGTTTCACCGTGGTCTTGATCTCGACCTTGTGATCCGCCTGCCTCAGCCTCCCAAAGTGCTGAGATTACAGGCGTGAACCACCGCATCTGGCCCAGACTTGTATTCTTAATATATAAATAACTCTGAGGACTCAATGAGAAAACAAACAACCCTATACAAAAATGGGCAAGAACATCTGAAAAGACACTTCATTTAAAAAGATGCATGAATGGCAAAAAAGATGTTCAGGATCATTAGTCATTAGGGAAATGCAAATTAAAACCACAATGAGACCACTAAGTATTAATACCTATTAAAATGAAAATACTGGCCATACCAAATGTTGGTGAGGATGTTTAACAACAGGAACTTTCATACGCTGCTGGCAGAGATGTGACATAATACAGCCAACTTTGAAAATGAGTTTGGCAGCTTTTTAAGAAGTGAAACACACGTGTTATATAACTCAACCATTCCATTCCTAGGTGTTTATCCAGGAGAAATAAGCAATATATATGTCCAAGGACTTGCATGTTACTGTTGATAGCAGCTTTATTTATGATTGCCAAAAAAACCCAAAACTTGGCAACAATCCAAAAGTTTATCAACAGGTGTATGGGGATAAAGAAATTGTAATGCCTAATTGACCTGCAATAAAAATGAACTATTGAACATG